AGATGTTGAATAATCATTATTCAAGGACTTGCTTTTGTTACGGTCATTTCGCTAAAAGTTGCAGTTTCTGAGAACCTACCGTTGACATCAACTGAGGACTTGCTGTACTGTGTAGAGATGATAAAGTAAATCAAATGGAAGATTTGGTACTTTTGTACTGAATTTAGGGTGTGTGTGTGTGTGTGTGAGAGAGAGAGAGAGAGAGAGAGAGAGAGAGTGTGTGTGTGTGACTCCCCCACATATATTTCCTTTTAAATCATCTTCATTGGCATGTAAGTAATGCATAATAAAATAAATATATTTTAAGGGTGCAGTTTAATGAATTTTGAAAAGTGTACATACTTGTTTAACCACCACCAAAGTTAAGATAGAGAACATTTCTATTTCACCAATGAGCTTTCTTATGTCTGTGGTAGTCAGTTCTTCAGCCCTAACTCTGGGCAATCTGCCTTCTATATGTATAAAATTTGGGCATATTAGATATATTCATTTGTTCATTATTCATATTTGTTGAGGATTTACTCAATAAAAACTATAAACCATTTCTTGCCCATTAGAAAGATAGTGAAAACTCATGGTTCAAAGAAGATTCAGAATCAGGGACAACAGCAGTCACCTGGGGTGTTCAGAGCTTGCCGAGTAGAAGTGCTAGGGAGCAGCACTCAACTGGACAGCTTTTTTTTTTCTTTTTTAAGTAAATCAGCTTTTTTTTTTTTTAAAAAAGAATTTATTTATACAAGTACTGGGTACAGTCAGAAGAGCTTATTTTTAATGACAATTCAGCCAAGGAAAAGTACTGTTCCAGCAGGAAAATAAAATTTATTTAGTAAGAGTTTTGTCAATGTTATGACCTAAGTTAATATTTACAAACCAAACATCTTCAAATATGTTTTTGGTGTTAAATTCCTAACTGACCATATGAAATCTTGTTACGGAATTCTATAATGTAAAGGGGAAAAAACCTTTTGGGCAATAAGAATCTCAGTGATTTCTTTAGTGAGGAGTAACCCTAGGCTTTGTAATGAAATATCAAATTAGGATAATAAGTACATTTTCTTACTTAGTGTCTACATGTCATATTTAAACATTATTTGGAATATTCTGAACTCTCTAGGGTTGGGTAGCAGGAAACTACTGAGCTTTACAAAAATATTTACTTTTTAAACCATGCAGTAGGCTCCATAAGAATTCATTATGTGGATACCTATAAATTAATGTTATAAATATCAGAAGAAAAATTTCAAAAGACAAAAACTCAGAAAAAAAAAGACTAAAGAATTAAAGACAGTGTTAGTGGTGGGTGGAGGGGGGGCGTCTAAAAACAAGAAAGGAAAAAAAACCACTAAAATCAAAATAGTTTAAAGTCTCATGGGCTAATTTTTTAAAATGATGTTTGAATTGTTTCATAGTTCTTATTCTATGTTTTCTTGTGTAAGAAATCTACAATATAGTCACTTAAAGAAAGTCAGACTGGAATGGAAAAATTCTGCTTTCCCTTTTTCTTTCAAGTTTCAGGTATCTTTTTGTCTATTTCATGAAAAAGGATGTCATTAAAATTAACTTTTTTTTAAAAGTCAGTAATTCCACTACTCAGCAATCAAAAAAGATAAACTCATGCCATTTGCAGCAACATGGATGGAGCTGGAAGGGATTATGCTCCGTGAAATAAGCCAGAGGAAAAAGAAAAATATCGTAGCGTTTCACTTGTAGGAACGTAAGGCAAATGATTTTCAGGCTTTTCTGCCCTCCAGCCATTAGGATTGCATGCCTGATGGTGGGTATCTGCATTTTGTTACATTGTTATATTTATATTTAGTCCTATTATTTACTTCTGTCGGCCATGGCCGCAGTATGGCCAAGAAAAGCAGAGGCAAGAGAGGGACCGCCAGTGAGCCCAGAAAGAGGAAAGAGTAAGGACTTGCCAGGGGCCAGGCCTCTTGGCACCCACCCCCCACCCCTGCCTGCTGTGTACCTAGTTGCCACACTACATGTAAAACCCTGAAAAAGCCACCAAGGGCTCCAGGACTCTACCGTCTGCTCCAATCGCAGAGACCCTGCTCTGTGCCTTCCTGGCACTACAAGGAGGATTATAGGGAAACCAAACAAGTGGTCAGAAAAACAAAAATTCAAAACTAGCAGGGAATCTAGAAGTCAGAGACATTCTGCAGTGGGGGAGGGAGAAAGGGGGATCAAAACGGGAGGGGAGAGTCCAAGAGACTATGGTGATGGTTCACGGGTGATTTGGTGGTGGGAATTTTATGGGGACTACACTTGAAGGGAGAAATCAAACATTGTACAAAAATGAACAGTAATGTAAGTATATAAGTATATTAAAAATTAAAAAATAGTGACTGACTCTGTAAGAAATATCTTAGAATTTAAAGAATGGATTGAGTACTGTGAATGTACTGCTGCTTAACATTTTATAACTATTTAGATTATGCAGTGGGTGTTTGGGCTTCTGAAAATAGGGGTAGAAGAAAGTGATCACCTTGTATACTACAGATCAAAAAAGAGTGTGTGTAAATCACATATATCATTTGATCTTTAAAATAACCTTAGGGATTCTTAATATATATATTTAAATTTATATATATGTAAATATATATAAATAAATAAAACATTTTAAACAATCTATTAAATTGAGAAATTTCTAAATAACTAAAAGACTAGAAAAAAATCTCTCTGGAATCTTGCCTATAGAGAGAGGTGATTTCTATTTTTATTACATATTTCAATGATGGGTTAGATAGAGAATAATTTTCATACCGCCCCTACCCCTGTGATGGGAGGGTGTCTGCCTTCAGTGTCGTGGCTACCTCAAATGACAACAGTAAGACATGCTGTCCTTGTTTTATATGAATTGAAGTCAGAACACCAACCTGAAAAAATACTGTGATGTTGCAAAATTTTACTTCTTTATAAATTATAGCTCTCAGTCTCATCTCCAAAACCGCTCACAAGCATATCAAGGGTGAACAAGAAAGCTTATTCTTGTTATTCATATTTATCAAGATAGACTTGAAGGGACAAATCAAGTAGTCACATCTACTCGGTGAGTAGAATTGCTGTCCAATAGCATCAATTACATTTTCTAAAATACCAAAGTTTTTTATCAGACTGCTTTTCAAACTAAGATCTTTCAGTACCCTTCTCACCCAAGGGAACTAAGCCCTACTGCCTGAAGAAGCCCAAGGCATCTACAGTATGTGTGAGGTAGCTTCTTTCCTATACAGAGAGAGTAGTGCTAGATATACACAAAGGGAGGGTTGAGGAAATCGTCACTAAATTTTCTGTCTTTGTCAATTTGTTCGAGAAAGACTGCAATGATATGTATGGGGTACTAGCATAGTTCAAGCCTAGAGCTTGTCTCATTTGTTCTATCCTAAGCACAGCCCCCTAATGAGTTAGCTGCACACAGTCACCTGAGAATGGGAAATCACAGCCTTTTCACGAGGCTGTTAGTGAAACTCAAAGTTTGCTGTGGGATATGGCTCCAAGTAAGTTGTCAGGAATTTAAAGTAATTCATACAAAAGAAATGAATCACATAGGAAAGTTTATGGCTGAATAAAGGCATTATATTTAGCACAAATTGGAGGTGAGGAGGGTGCCAAGTTCATCATCACCACTGCTCATGGGTTTATAAACAGTGACCAAGACAGAAGAGCATCGTGTGCAGTACAGAAAATTCTGTCATCTTCTAGACACACACACACACACACACACACACACACACAAACAGCTTCCCTGTCAGACATGCACTGTGTGGACGAGAAGGAGGACACGGGTCTCTTGTCAGCATTCGCACTAACACAGGAAGCAAACCCAGACTCTTATTTGCACTGTGGAAAGCAAACAAGTTGCCCATGAGGAATGGTTAGGAACTTGAAGAGTTTTATTTTGTACTGTTAAAAAAAATGTAGGTCATTTCTTCATCCGTATAAATAATCTTTTCTGGCAAATATAGTTAACTTTTAACCTCCCATTCAAAAACTTCACAACTTCAAGTATTTAAAATGCACTTAAAACTTTTCCCTGCTTTTATTTTACACAGTACATTTTCAAAGTCATTAGTTAGCTTATGGAGTCGAAGAATTTCTTTCAAAACAAAGTTCAAATCTTTACTAGTATGCAGTGGACCAAATCAGCATTCTCTATGTCAGCATCCATTTTAATTGTACTATTTTTTTTTCATCTCCCCCTAAAGATATAGAGTTGGGAAAAATAGGCAAATCTGTACAATTCAGATTAAAGCACATAGTATCATTAAAAAAAATCCAAACAACCTAAGGCATGCCTACCACACTTTCATTTCACTGTCCTCAGCTGTTTAAAATTCTGGTGTTGATACATTTTGACCTGCTTCCTACCAGCAACCTCTGGCCCTCCTCTGGAATAGCTGCCCTGGAGGTAACTGCTCATCCTCAACTGTCTTGAAGCAGCTTGATGTCTGGGCCTCACATGCCTCAAATGACACTATATGGACTTGCTCTAAACCTTTTTTGAGTGATTTGGCAAATATCCCAAATGAAATTCAACTCTAAGTTAAAGTACCCAACAGAGATAGGGCTAAGTGCATCTGTAACTTTCTAGGTTGCCCAGAGGCTCAGGAGAATTTAGGAATAAAAAAAACCGTAATTGCCCCCAACTGAAGTGACTGCAGACACCCGCTGCTTTGCCACAACAGAGCAATTACCTGCAGAGACTGGGGGAGCCCACAGGAACAGCAACACTTACAAAGTGGCCATGGTTTCTGGGCCCTTGGGTTGTGAGTGTCTTTAAAGGCCAACAGCCGTTGAGCACCGGCTTTGCCGACACCTCCCCAGTCAGCATTAGAACAGCAAGCACCAACACACAGAACTCTGGTCTCTTCCTGACCTTTTTCCTCCTTGATTCCAGCTCTCTCTCCCTTTCAAGCTCTCTATCTGCTGATTGGAATTGCACTTTGGTTTGGGATGCTAGAAAAGAGTTGTTTTAAAGTTGTCTGGAGAGACCATCACTAGATAGCCAAGTCGTTTGGTCTGGCCCTGTTGCTGCTTGCCTTGCTCGACTGTCCTGCATCTAGGAGGAGCAGAGGGGGCCCGTGCAGCTCTATGTTGGTGGCAGCAGCTGGTTCCCTTGCATCAGGTGTGTCTGCTGAGCTGCCGCCATTCCCACTGACCAAGAGCACTTTGCTTCCTGCTCTGCCCTCTCGAGGGGGCTGCTGGGTGGTGCCTGGAGGGGTCAGGCCTGCAGGAGTAGACACCAGCAGGGAGCTGCTTCTTGTTGAAGCCTGCTGCTTGGCCTTTTGTTTGGCCTGGCTCTGTTCTGTTGCCAGCAGGCAGTGGCTGCCACTGAAGAGCTTGGCCCGGTGGCCCTTCCTATGCATCTCAGACAGGGCTACCATTTTGAAGTCTGTTGCTGGCAGAGGGGCCCCCGGGTAAGCTGTCTGTCCCAGGGAAGAGGCAGAGCAAGTGGAGCAGGGCTGGAATCCAACAGTGACTGAGGGCAGGGCTGAGTGGGAGGGCAGGGCTGAGTGGGGGCGCAGGATGAGAGGGCTGATGCCCCCAGGGTTTTTTTGCCCCAGCCCAGAGGCATCTGGACAATAGTGGTTGGTCATCCCCTGCTTAAACTTCTTCCAGCCCAGGTGGTAGATCTCCAGCAGGTTGAGAAAGAGGGACAGGCAGGCCACGGCCAGCATGAAGACGATGAATATGGTCTTCTCCGTGGGCCTGGAAATGAAGCAGTCCACCGTGTTGGGGCAGGGCCATTGCGCACAGCGGTACAGCGGCTTCAACTTAAAGCCGTACAGAAAGTACTGGCCCGCGATGAAACCCACCTCGAACAGCATCTTAAAGACGATGTTGAAGACGTAAGTCCGCAGCAGGGCCCCCGCGATCCGTACTCTGCCCAGCTCATCCAGTGCCGGGGGCCGGTCCTTGGCGCCGGGGTACAGGCCGCCCCCCTTCTGCAGCTCTTCCTCTCTTTCTTTCCTCTTTTCCTCCACGCGCGCGATGTGCAGCACATGTCCCAGGTAGATGAGGGTGGGTGTGGACACGAAGATGATCTGCAACACCCAGAAGCGGATGTGGGAGATGGGGAAGGCCTGGTCGTAGCACACGTTCTCGCAGCCTGGCTGCTGCGTGTTGCAGGTGAAGTCTGACTGCTCATCTCCCCAAACCTCCTCCGCAGCAGCGCCCAGCACCAGGATCCGGAAGATGAACAGCACAGTCAGCCACACCTTGCCGATGACCGTGGAGTGCTCCTGCGCATTCTCTAATAGTCTCCCCAGGAAGCTCCAGTCGCCCATTGCTTCAGGTCACTAACCTGTAAGGGAACAGTGCTTGTTAGCAGGCAGGCTCGCCCAAGTAAGCTGAACGGTCCAACCGCAGAGGGGCAGGCCCCGGGTCCGGGAGAAATATTGGAACTCTACCCCCACTTCTAAATGTGAGGAGTGTGGTGCTCATGTGTGTGCCCGTGTGTGTCCCCCATCAGGCTGATGTGTAGGGTTAGATCAATGTCTCCAGCATTGCCTGCTGCTGAGCTGTTAGACACACTAATGCTGGAACAGAGGAGGTAACCACAGGCTAAATTCCCACTGCAGAGATGAAGAAAGCAGAACTGGGAAGAGAAGTAACTGGCCCAAGAGACACTTAATGCTCCCCTTGTCCCGGGACTCCTACCCTGTTTTCTTCCAGAGCGGGATTCTAGAAGGAGCTTGGGTGCTTTGTACATAGCTGGGGCCAATTTCTAATCCTGACCTTTCTGCTCATATGAGATTAGAGTGATCTTTTCTCAAATTGCTGCCATTTCCATTACACCTTTGGTGGTATGAATTTCCTACTGCTTCCACTAAGCAAATGATGCATAAGTGGTTAACTCCTTATATGTCCCTGAGCAGGGCCTCTGTTTCCATTTTTAATGGGGATGATGTGTCCAGAAGCAAGGAAAGCAAAAGAGAATATAAACAGATGGGGGGCCTCCCTGGTGGTGCACGGGGTTAAGACGCAACCTATGAAGCTATTCACAGCCACTGCAGCACGAGTTCGAACCCTGGCCAGGGAGCTACCTACATGGTGTAGCAGACCTCTCCTGACTCCCCCGCTGCTCCCCTCAGCAATGTATTTCAGTCAGTCTGCCTGTTCTGCTCCCCTCTCTGTCTCTGATGAATCCTCTTCCCTCCCTGCCCCCACCTCTGGCCTGTACCCTGGTTCTTACATAAATAAATAAATCTATTTAAAAAAAATATAAACAGCTGGGACTACATGAAACTAAATAGCTTCTGTACAGCAAAAGAGACAGCAACAGAAGCAAAAAGACACCCTACAGAATGGGAGAAAATATTTGCACATTATACATCTGATAAGGGACTGATATCAAAGATCTACAATGAGTTTATAGAACTCAACAAAAACAAAGCAAACAACCCAGTAAAAAAAAATGGGCAAAAGAGCTTAAGAGACACTTCTCCTAAGAAGAAGTGCAAATGGCCAACAGGCATATGAATAAATGTTCAACATCACCTATAATCAGGGAAATGCAAATCAAAACTACAGTGAGATACCACTTCACACCTGTGAGAATGGCCCATATTAAAAAAAACTGGAAACAACAAATGCTGGTGAGGATGTTGACAAAGAGTAACTCTCTTACACTGCTGGTGGGAATGCAAACCAGTCCAGCCACTATGGAAAGCTGTGTGGAGGTTCCTCAGAACACTGAAATGGGTCTACCATATGATCCAGTGATTCCACTCCTAGGAATCTACCCAAAGGACACAAAATCACTAATTCTAAAGGAAAGCTGCACTCTTATGTTTATTGCAGCACTATTTACAATAGCCAAGATATGGAAACAACTAAATGCGCCAAAACAGACAAATGGATCAAGATGTGGTATATATACACAATGGAATACTACCCAGTGATGAAAGAGATAAACTCATGCCATCTGCAGCAACATGGATGGAGCTGGAAGGGATCATGCTCAATGAAGTAAGTCAGAAGGAAAAAAGACAAATATTGGACGGTTTTGCTTATATGTGCACTATAAGGAAACTGAAAAAAAGGTGAAAAACCAAACCAGATAAAACTTGCAGGCTGACCATAATTATGAGGCTCATAGCAGGGAAGGAGGAGGGAGAAGAGTCAAAACAAGAGAGGGAAGAGCACAAGGGAATATGGTGATGATTCACTGGCGCTGCTGTAGTGGGAGAATTATGGGGACTATACCTGAGGAGAGAATGAAATACTGTCTGAAAATGAATAATGATGCAAGAAAATAAATAAGTAAATAAAATAGGCATGATGATCACATGGTCTTGTGCAATGAACTGCTTCTGGAAGGAGGGAGGTAAGAACTATGGGCCCACTTTGTGCAGATAGCAGTGCTCCTCAGGTGCAGAAACCAAGATTAAAAGGTGTCCTCCATATCACTGTGCTCAGACAGGCAGATGCTGCCAACCAGAATCGCCAGGTAGCACCCACATGTTATTGTCACTCTTTGCGGAGAGTGGTCTAAGCTGTAGTTTTTACATATATCGTCAGTGGAAGCAAGGAAAAATTCTCAATTTTTTAATTGTTTTTAAATGTTTAAAAATGCAAAATTTTCATGAATTATTTGAAGGCAAACAAAACTACCCACAATGATTTCAAGAACTAAACAAGTGTGTTAATGCTCTCTTTAGAAGAAACTTGGAGCTCTTGATTTTGGTCATTGAGATCTTTAGAGTAGTCTTACTCTTCTCCCATCTTGCCATCCTCTTTGCCCCACACTATGGCCAGCATCTATCCTATTCTGCATGTTCTTAGGAAAGGACATGTTTTAACTGAGAAAAACTGCAAACAACCCACTCTCCATGTTGGATGTAGGGGAATCATTCAGGTTATAGCCTGCCTCCCCTCCATGCTATCAGTTTGAACTCATCCTACATGGCCACCCAGCCAGCTCTCTGGGCTGGGCACTCACCTGTCCCTTATCTGAAGTCCCTGATTGGTGTCTGTGCCCTCAGCTCTTGCCCTTCCTCCATTCTGCTGGAGACCTGCTGAACAAAAGTTTTGTTCTGAGATGGGCACAAAACAAAAGCAGTATACAGTGTGTCAAGTTTCTGGAACTCAGGGCAGACCAAACTTGCTGTGGGCCCTCTAAACTCTACTTTTATGCTTTTTCACATGTTTTTTCTTTAACCTGTACCTCAGCCCCAGTCCAGGCACCAACCTGTTAACCTGTCTCTTACCTTCACTCACCCTTCATGGGCCAGTAATTCAGGCAGATGTGGATGCCTGTGTTCTCTTCCTCTTTGTCGTTGTCCTGATTTAATGACTGTCACTCCCCTCTGTGTTCTACCTCTCATCTTCCCGCCTGATAATTTGCAAATGGCATCCCCCTTCCTCACTGTGTCAGGACAAGACCCACCTCTGGTTCTTTATATAAGACACCTGAACGTTGACTGCCTGTGGACTTTCCTCTTTATTTCTAAGTCTGAGGCAGGGGCTCACGAGCAGCCTTTTCTTCTTGCAGGCAGGACAAGCCGGCAGTGTACATTTCTGGAGCTCTTTAAGGAAAGGTCAGTTTGAGAATTTAATGCTTTCCCCTACCACCTTCCCAGACACTCAGGTAGTTCTGCCTTGTCAAACATGTTTGCTAAATAACAGCTGACAGGAAGCGCTGGAACTGAGGGCCAGGCAGGCTTGTCACACATGGCTGGTGGCACGTAGGGCAGTTAGGGAGGGAATGCATGTGCTGGTGACAGACTGGAGATCATTGCTGGCATTTCCAAGAAGGCATGGGGTGGACTCCACAGTAAAGGCTTGTCAGTCCCACCCAAATGCCCAAGGTACATGGGCAGAGAAGCATGGGCTAAATATGTATTTATTCACTTAACAAAGCAGAAAGAGGAGTGCAGGGTAGTGCAGCTTGCTGTAGTTTTTTTTCCTTGCTGTTCTTGCCAGAATCCTTAGGTCCAGGTGCTGCAAAATCACTTTCCAATACTTGCCCTTCAATTGCACCATGACTTCTGAGTGCAATATACAGAAACATGCCACATTACCACCTGTATTCTTAGTCAGAACTCTGGCAGATGCCAAGGCTCAGTACATTCTAATTTACTAGTGGACCTGGCTGATTAAGAGTGTGTCCTCCTCCAAGTGCACATCCCTCATGCACTGAATGGCTGTGTGCACTGGTAAGAACTTTCTGGAAAGGAGTTTAGTGATATATAAAAGAGATGTAAATGTAAGGATCGTTATAATTCTGCTTCTAGGACATCACACTGGGAAATAAGCAGAGATTTTGGTAAATGAATGGGCATGGATATTTATTGTAATGTTACTTATAAGAAGGAATAACTGGAAACAGAAATGTCCACTAATGGCTGAATAGTTAAATAAATGACCATGACTGGCTGTCAACAGCTGACCTCCTGGTCTGGCTAACCCAGCTCCTATTCCCACTTCTTCTCTCCCCTACTTGCCTTGAAAGTGACCAGTGAGGTAAATTCTTGCTTACCTTATCTCTCTGTTGCTGGAGTGACTAGAAGGGCAATTCTGTCCAATGAGGCATAAGAAGTCTGCTGGGGAATTTTTTGGAAAGGGCAGATGCTACTTGTGCTATTCCTTCTCCTTTCTTTCTACATCAAGAACAGATGTGGTACCTGGAGCTGGGCAATCACCTTGCAAGAATTTGTGAAAAAGCATGAGGGGTGATCAAAGACGCCCCAAGGAACCTGCTGTGACCCTGTAGACTTGATGACTCAAACCTAGCGGCCACCTCCAGATTTATGTGAGGGGAAAAATCCTATTTGTTCAAGTTAGGGTTTCTGTTGTTTGCAAACAAAAGAATTTCTAACTGACATATTGTCTTAAATTCTTCATAGGATAATGTCCGGCATAAATGAAAAGCGATGGCTCATTCATAAGTAGTAAACCATAAAGTACTCATTAAATATAATTTTTAGGACTATTAATGACATGAAGAAATGTTCATGTTATAGTGATGAATGACAAAAGCCTACTATGCCAATCTGATGTCAGTTATTTTATACACGATTCATATATGCAAATAGGAAAAGTAACAGCAGTAATGACAGACATGTTAGCCAGGGAGTTTCTGAGAATTCGGTAATTGCTTTTTTTCCAAACTTCTTTGCATTTCCCATAACAACCCAACACATTTGTCATTATGAAATATTAATGACCATGACTTTTATATTAGAAGTTCTAGTTTTTTTTTAAAGATTTATTTTTATTTATTTATGCATACAAGAGCTGGGGTGTAGGCTAGAGTTGTAGGGGATGAATGGAGTCACCAGAG